GTTCAGGGTTGAGGTAGGAAATACTCTTAGTTTAATAATTATCACGCAGTTCTTCATTCTTTCCTTACTTATTTTGAAACTCATTATTTATCCTCACTATTCAGTGTTGTCTACTGTGTGTTCAACTGGATTGATGCTAATAACGGTTTCCTCTACTTTTTTCCAGCCAGTGAGCTCAGCTAAGTTGGCAGGATGTCAGCTTTCAACTGTTCATTTGATTTAATAACTGAAAACGAAGAGTGGCTTTGTCCTAAAGGAGAAGCGTGCACCAATATTACTCATGCCGTGAATGGGACCTTTCATAATCTCACACATCTGACAGAGGAGGGGTACCTGGAAAAATATCTGGGTCCTCGTCGATCACCTGTGTTCCTCCCCATCTGCCTGATGTATCTGATCATCTTCCTGGTAGGCGTTGTGGGGAATGTGCTGACGTGCACCGTCATTGCACGCAACAAAGTCATGTGGACACCAACAAACTACTACTTGTTCAGCTTGGCCGTGTCAGACCTGTTAGTGCTACTACTTGGCATGCCATTAGAGCTGTATGAGCTGTGGCAGAACTACCCCTTTCTTCTGGGAACGGCAGGTTGCTACTTTAAGACCTTCTTATTTGAGACGGTCTGCTTGGCATCCATCCTAAACGTGACGGCACTGAGCATAGAGCGTTACATCGCCGTGGTCCACCCGCTGCGAGCAAAGTATTATGTGACACGTACTCATGCTAAGAGAGTCATTCTCACTGTGTGGGGTGTATCAGTTTTGTGTGCTGTGCCCAATACAAGCCTGCATGGGATTGTCTTCTTGCACAGTTGTTCCACAGACCCTGCTGGAACCATAAATGTGGAGATTCCCGACTCAGCCATGTGCACATTAGTGAAACCACGATGGATGTACAACCTGACAATCCAGATGACCACCTTGCTGTTTTTTATTCTGCCCATGCTCACAATCAGTGTTCTTTACATGCTCATTGGGCTGCAGCTAAAGCGTGAAAAGATGCACCAGGAACTGGAGCCAAAATGTGGTTTCGGACAAGATAGCTGCTGTAACATCCGCACACAGCAGCAGAAGGCACGTCGCCGGCAAGTCACTAAAATGTTGTGTAAGTATATGGATCTGCTAATGTGCCAACTTTTACCTTCTAATTCACAGTCTTGTTATGTAGTTTGTGCAGAATTGAGTGCTTAGTTAGAGTTAGTTAACTTTACCTTTAGGGACACTGCTGGTGTGATCACATAATCCCATCCCATATGGATAGTAAGTCTGTAGTCTGATGTAAATCAATTAAAAAAAATGTTTTAATAAGGAAAACAAGAAGAAAAGGTTAACTCAAGTGTCACTTTGTTATATTCTATCAGAAACATAGCTTTGAAAGGGTTTGTCATGGCTCACGTGTGCTTTTGCATCACTCAGTGGTGAAGGTGAAGTTAAATTGCCAATCTTTCTCAGATGTGACATAAATAATTTATTGACCTCTATTTCAAAGCAGCGTTCGGTTGCATGATAGTAAGACCTCTAGGGTCATTGTCATCCTCCTCTCAGGTCATATTCCTTCAACAAAGTGCAAAATATCGAAGCGTTGTGACTTTGAACAGGTCATAGTATTCTTGGAAGATTTTCATCAATATGCCTGAAAGGAAGAGATCAAAGGAGCTCAAAGAAAGGTAGGCAGTTCGTGCCCAACTGTCAAGAAAAGTCACTGAATGCTTTTGATGAAAGCAACAGAAACAGCTCCAGCTTTTGATACCCAGCAGGGGACTTGCAGTCAGAGCCTGCAAAAAAACCTGTCGAACTGTGTGATTATGAACATCAGTGTGCTTCTTGTTTT